AGTTAGGGACCCCTTCGCCTTTTTTGGGCTATGGCACCACTAGCGCCACACCATATCACAATCCCTATCCCAACCTTAGAACACAATCTTAGGAATACTCCAACATCCCTATCCAGGTGCCATAGCCTAAAACAGGCAAGGGGTTCCTTTCCCAAAGCACATCACACAACTCCTTTTCCTGGCTGCGTGGACTCAAACCTTCCAGGCCGAGACGTATTGCTCTACCTTGACTGCCGTCTTGTCCGTCTTCGTCCATGCGCCCTTGACGGTTTGCTCTGCATGGTATTTCTTCCCGATTTGTGCAGGCGTAACAACAACCCATTTAATGATGCCGATCTTGTGCAGCGTCTCCGCCTTGAAATACTCCTCAAACATGTCCTTCATTCTCTCCATCTTGCAGTCGTGCGAAGCGCTCTTGGTAATCTGCAACAGCCACAGCACCAAGCTGCCACTGCTGTCGATCACAAAGAAAAAGTCTGTAGCTGGGAAGATCTTATTCTTTGGGTGGTAAATACAGCCAGGCTCCAAGGGTTGTTTGGAAATTGGTTTGCCTTCTTTCCTGCGGAGTGTCCTGACAAGGCACGGTACCTGCACGTCAGAAGTCTCATCGGATGACAACGACCTGACTTTCAGAATGTGATTCGCATCACCCTGTGTAAGTTTCTCATACACCTCATCTTGGAGAAGGCCCCCAACAAATGAGCCGAGGGCAGGTATGTCCAAACATGCGTTGATGAAGCGCGGACGTGCTGCTCTGCTATTGGCATCCAGCTTGTCGCGAATCGCCTCGCTGACAACGGATGACTCAACAAGCTCCGTAGTTGATTTGACAAAAGGACATTCAGAATGAATCTGCAACAGCAGACTCATGTGGCTGTGTCCGCCTTGCATATCGGATGGCACACTCGAGGCCGCTTCGAAAAGGTTGTCATAGGTGCAGTTGTGCATGCTTTGCTGAACCATATCACGGGCGGCGACGTCCAAGTCACCTTCACTGTTCAAGAGCTGCCCCAACCATCGCAGACTTCCACCCAAAAGTGAATGCCCCAGCCTGATCTGATCTTCAGAACTTTTCGGGAACAACTTCTTTCTGTGGGTCAAGACCTCATCGACTGACCAAACAGGCATGTAGCGGATGGTGCTGTGGTTCCTTTGCTGTTTATACGGCGTGTCATAGCTCTTCTTGGACGGTGAGGTGAAAACCAGTGTGCATCCTGCCATACGCGGTTGTATGTCCACACGTCCATCGCCTCCATGAGGGTCTGCTAACAACAAAGTGTCGGATTTTCGAAGAAGCCCCACGGGCTCTGCTTTGTCGTGAGCCGTCGTTTTCCCACCAACCTGTCGCGACCACCACATGCCCCCATGCTGGACAACGATATGATATTTCTGCTCTGCAGCCAGAACTGCAGCCATAAAGCCCAAGAATAAAGTCTTGCCAATTCCCGGTGTGCCTGTCACGACAAACAATCCAATTCGGCCGGTTTCCGGCTGTGCACAAAGCCACGACATTGCCTCCTCCTTCATCTGCACATAGCACTTGCGAACAATGAGGACATTGCCCATACCGTTGTTGCCCAAGATCTTGCTGGTGAAGGTCAGCTCCTTGCCATTGCCCCAAGTCTTCGGCTCGGACTGCACCGCCTCTTCCAGCCATTCACAAAAAGCATCTGTTGCGGGCTCAACCTGAGGCTCAAAGAACAACCCACAACTTGTTAACAGGCTACAACCCACACCACCTTAAGGATAAGCAGCAAACGCTGAATCCCAAGCCTTAACCGCGCGAAACCAAAAAAAACACCCAACCCCCTAAGCCCAACTAAGCAACCTAATCAACTAACCCAATCGGGAAACCCTACGAGGAAACCAAACCTAGGGGGGCATAAACAACTACGCTACAACCAAAGAGCCAACCCCTAAACCC